CAAGGTTAAATAATTTAGTCTATGTCCAATCCAATGCAAGGATCACAAACAAGAAGAATTTAGTCTATCATCCAAGAATACTCCTCATTATGATTGACACACACCAACTCAGATATCCTAATGACACCTGGATGACACGTGCGGGCCGACACTCAGGAGTGATGAAAGCCCTAAGTGTAGGAATAAACTCGAATGGCAAGGAACCAATAAGAACATGTAAGAACCTGCAAATTCAAATTCGAATAAGAAAAGGAAATAATATGAAAATATGAATGCTAAATGACATGGTGATAATGCAAAACTCCCATGAATGAAATAGGAAAATCAACGAATACAAGTCCGAAGTAAAGATACAATACGTCTAAAGCATACCACTAAGTAGAGTACAAAAGAAAGGTGAGCTTCAAATTACAAGAGTCAAGAAGAGCCACACATAGATGAAAGCAAATAGAGTCACTGGTATGGAAAAGCCTCGAAGCTCGGGTCGTACTCTTCTTCACTATGTCCTGAAGGGGGTGCAAAACCAGAAGAAGTGAGTGGACCTCTTCTTATCTATATATTTTTATAAATAATCAACCTAGCATGCATTTCATATTTCATGATTTGAATATGATTTGCATTATGCCTTTATAGTTTTCTATAATTATGGTTGATGAGAAATTAGGATTTATTAAAGTTACTTTTACGAATACCTTTTAATTATCGAAATCACATTCCACTAAAGGTGATGGATTATGGGTTGGCATTTATGCATTTCTATGGATATGAATTATGGGATTTACGTTTATGAATTTCTAAGGTTTATGAATATGATATTCCATGGATTTATTATCTTGGATTTAGGAAATGAGGTTTAAGCTTTTGAGCTTCGATGTTTGATACGAGTTTTGAGATATCTTTTTTTTAGTACTTGTCTAGTGGGTTATCATACGGCACATCTGCACACCACGTGTATTATGTCTATGGCCACATGACACATATGATGGAGGAGTGAGATATGATGGACAACTTCACTAGCCACGGCTAGTGTCGGTGTGGATGTATGCTATTTTATATAGCTTCACCTACGGGTGATGGACAGGTTATTCAGCTTCACCTTTGGGTGATGGACAAGTTATACAGCTTCACCTTCGGGTGATGGACATATACTGCCTTTGGGCGACTATGATACCTCTAGTTGAGTACTTCACATATATGATTTACAGAGGTTTTACAAATGTTTTACTTTATTATGTCACATCCTAGACCGGCTCCGCCGTAGCACGATATTGTCCGTTTTGGGCCATGCCTCACGATTTTGTTTCCGGAAACTCACACGAGAACTTCCCAGTGGGTTAACCAACCTGGGAATGCTCTCGCCCAAACTCGCTTAACTTTGGAGTTCCGATGGAATCCAAAACCAGTGAGTTCCCAAAAGGTCTCATACTATAGGTGGTGGGCATGTACATATAAGGCACATCACCCCATCTCCATTAGTCGATGTGAGATGTTACAATGATTATATGCTAACTGTTTTTTAAATATTGAACTTGTTCCATGGATGTATTTTTTGTATCCTTCTACTTTTATTTTTGCATTTTATCATTATTTTATTATCCATACAAGTATAGTTTTTTTTTAATTAATTAATTAATTTATTTTTAAGTGTAAATAGACACTTATTTACATGATACATTATAAATTTACATAAATCCGCCTAGGCCGCTTGGGCGCTCGCCTATGCCCTGCTCATCGATCGACTAGCGTCTAGCGTTTTTTAGAACCTTGGTTGGATAATAGTCTCTTACATTTAAATGTCCTTCAAAAGGAAGTAAATAAATCTGAAACATATAAAATACAGTTAATCCTGCTATGGACCAATCTATTATTGCAAAGGGTAATGCTAGGTAGACCAAATTTTTTAAACTAAATTTGCAAACTGAATGATATGGTTGTAGATGATTGAATTATTAATTTAGTGTGAATTAACGTGATTGTTTCTTATTGGTGAATCGTTATTTCATTTGCAAATTTGGTCTCCCTAGCATTAACTTGTTGCAAAAATAAGTGAATACAAATCGTTGGAATTCCCGAAGTGATGCCTTCTCGAAAAGCTGTATATTGTTCTTGCTGACCAACAATTATTACAATATCGAGTAACCCCATCATATATTTAATTCCGCCGAGATATGTTTGCAAGTGAAATAATTGTCTCTTCAACACAACCGCATTCCTTTTCAGAAGACGATTAAGTGTCCGAATTTTTTACGGTGGCCCAGAGTATAGAATACTTTGAATACATTTTAACCATTAGATTTTTGTTTAAAGATTCAAAACTAAAAAATTTAAGAATTATATTTTGGACCACTATAAAAATTTTGTTTTAGAAGTTGTGCTTTTGAGCAAATTTATGACTGTTGATATATTTGAGGCACTTTAGCTCATTTTAAACAGCTAGAAAAAAACATGGGACATATGCATAGTTATTCACGTGCGTTTGGGCGACGCAGGTTCGACCTAAACACCTGCATGTAAGAAATCAGAATTAACCTTGCAGGCAAATGAGTTTTAAGGTGGTTATGAACTTAGATGAATTGGATAAACCTCTACAACGGCATCCAAAATCTAAGTTGCTCTCGCAGTATACCAAATTCCAAACAAAGTACCAACCGAGGTCATGATCTCAATTACCCAACATTTCAAGTGGGTAGATCTGTTACTGTAGTGCTATAAAGTCATACAAGGTTTCCCTTTTCTGAATATTGAAGAAAAGTGACAAAAAGTCATTGTCTTGATTGCTTTTGCTTTCTACATTTTATATTCCACTTGACAACTCAAATCTCTGCTTGGTGGCTCTCGTTTATAGCAAATACAGACAATTGCTACCAACGATCCAACTTCTATTTTTAGGTTTTTATCACAAATGGTCATTAAGATTGATCAAACTCATCATTTTACTCCCTCATTTCAAAATCAATTAATGTCGTCCATGACCTTCACTACCGTACATCAATTTGGTCATTCCATTAAAATTCCGTCAACTATTCTGTTAGTTTGTATGTGAGACCCACGAATCCAATAAAATGATAACACGTGGATTACACAAAATAAGGGTTTTTATCGCAAATGATCATTGACATTGATCCAACTCCTGGTCATTAAGATTGATCAAACTCATCATTTTACTCCCTCATTTCAAAATCAATTAATGTCGTCCATGACCTTCACTACCGTACATCAATTTGGTCATTCCGTTAAAATTCCGTCAACTATTCTGCTAGTTTGTATGTGAGACCCACAAATCCAATGAAATGATAACACGTGAATTACACAAAATAAGGGTTTTTTATCGCAAATGATCATTGACATTGATCCAACTCCTCATTTTGGTCCTTGACTTTCAATACCGCACGTTAATTTAATCCTTTTGTTAAAGTTTTGTTAATATCTTTTGTCCCACTAATTCAATCATATATGGCGTGTCACATCCCGACCCATGCTTCACCACATCCTGGGCACGACTCTGCCGTAGCACGATATTGTCTGCTTTGGGCCCCGACCACACCCTCACGGTTTTGTTTCTGGGAACTCACAAGCAACTTCCCAATGGGTCACCCATCTTGAGAATGCTCTCACTCCTTTCTTGCTTAACTTCAGAGTTCTGATAGAACCCGAAGCCAGTGAGCTCCCAAAAGGCCTCGTGCTAGGTAGAGATAGGAATATACATATAAGGCTTAGAGGATCCACTCCCCTGAACGATGTGGGATGTTACATGGCACCACATGGATTAACTAGAAGAAGACTGTTTTTCTAAATATTTAAAACTAAAAGTAAAATAAGAAACTAAAAACCAAAACTAAAATAAAATTTAAAAAAGTCATCGTCGTCTTCATCAGGTTATGCTCAAAAAGAAAAAGGGCATTATGACACCATTAAAGTACTTGGTCTCCTGAATTCACTCCTCACTCCTCATTCTATCTATTTGGTTATAATCCTATAAAATTTGAATTGAATTTGGATTTAATTTTATCGAATTTAGATTGATTTTCTTTTTTTTTGCCAATTGGGGTTGTGGGATACAAGAAAATGGCAGTAGGGAATACTCGTCCGTTAGTTCACTCTTAAAAAATATAGTTTCTTATAGTTAATCTACGTGGAGCAATTTGATTGGATTAGTGGGATCACATCAGCACATAAACGAAAAATATTGATGAAATTTCAACGGAATGACTAGATGTGCGGCAATGAAAGTCGGGGATCAAATTTATCGATTTTTGAAACTCAGGAACCAAAATGAGTAGTTGGATCAATCTCAAAGACCATTTGCGAGAAAAAACCCTTATTTTATGTAATTCACGTGTCACCATTTCATTGGATTTGTGGGTCTCACATATAAACTAACAGAATAGTTAACGAAATCTTAATAGAATGACCAAATTGATGTAAGGTAGTGAATGTCAAAGACGATATTGATTGATTTTGAAAGTGAGAGACTAAAATGATGAGTTTGATCAATGTCAAAGACTATTTATGATAAAAACCCTCTATTTTTTAGCCATCTTACTTTTTAACCTTCATATTTTAACAAAGAGTTACTGGAAAAATAAGACATATGAGTAGTAGAATTGGTTTGGTTATATTTTATTTAATATAAACGATATTCTAGGTAAAAAAAACCGAGGGTTCGAATTTAGAACGACAGATTTGTAAAGGAATACTCAAATCAGTATAACAATTCATTATTTTTATTAATACTTAACCATTAATTTTCTTAGTGTACACACATAGTTTACCAAAAAAAAAAAAAAAAAAAAAATACTAATTTCGGAGTTGATAATTGGTAACGATGTTTCACCTTGAGCTCCTGAAGATTTAGAGTAGGTCTTACAATAAGCCATTCATAATAATTTAATAACAAACTCACCAAGCAAAGCATATGAATAAACCTGAGATCTCATATATTACAAATAAAATATTAGTTATGATGGTAGTGATAAATTCGAACTCAAAAACCAAAAAAAAATTTGCCACTGTCCTGACAAACCGACATAGACAAATTCTGAATTTGTTACCTAAATTATCTATTAGCAAAATGCTTTTTATCAACCAAAAAGTGTAAAAAGACAACTTCGTGGAGTTAACAGAGAATCCGGTGGGACAATCTCCAGCTTCAGGTACTGGCTACACTCCCAATTCAGAGCCATTTCTGAAAAGCTCTGTTTCTGCCAAGTCCAGGTGGGGATTCATATTTGATCCAACCCAACCTGCTGGCACAACAAACAGGTAAACTTATTACCTATCCTATTTTCTTGAATCGAAACATGTTTTGTTTTGCAAGATTTTTATGGGGTTTTGTGAAAAATGTGATTTAAGTTGTAGAGTTGGATTCTTTCCCAGAAATCTCACATGGGTTAATGCCATTGATTAGGAAGCTGCTTGTTTGCTAATTCATGTGTGTTAGTGTTGTTCTTCTTCTGTGATTTTTCAAATTCCATTTAAATTCATTGACTTTGATCAGCATTGGGATTCTTTAATCCCAATTGACTGGATTTAGGACTCTTTATAAACTAACCAATGAACCGTACTGTTTGATTTGGGATAGTGATCCAATAGAAAAAGGACAATTTTAATCTTTTTTAATCTCAGCCATTGGATCTAAAGCGACCCTTCCAGGTTGGTTAGGTACTGTGTTTGTTCTAACGCTACGCAAAGTGGCGCTTTGTGGGAGATGATTCACTTATTTTTTGGCGCATGATATGTTGTCCATTAATGTATATGCTCTTTTGTTGCGCATATTTGTCTTGTATGAATGTATATTCAAAGGATTCGTGTAGTGGAGGTGTGGTCCTCTTCTATATAACTTGGTGATTCTGAATTCGAATTCTGATATTGGGTTTCAGTTGGCAGATACTGAAGTTGAGTGTTCGGTTTTTTGTTTGTGGACGTTGATTTGGGAGAGATGGCTTCCAATGCTCCAGCAGGGCATACATGTTCACCTCCAATGAACGCCACATCAAACGGTGTGTTCCAGGGGGACAGTCCTCTTCATTTTGCACTGCCTCTCGCTATTTTGCAGATATGTATTGTAGTTATAGCTACTCGGGTTCTTGCTTATGTTCTGAAGCCGTTAAGACAGCCACGAGTCATTGCGGAGATTGTTGTAAGCTCATTTCTTACTTTTGTCTTGAAATTTAATCGAAGGGCAGTTAGTTTTGTCCTTGATCACGTTGCTATGTGTACACTCAGTCTTACTTGCCGGGACCAATTCCGAGGAGAAGAGCTTGTGGCCCTTCATTGTTAAATTTCTGTGTTTGAAGTTTGGTGGCGGTTAAGTTTCTTTACTTTGGATGTTAGGGGGTGTTGGACTGTAGTCTAGCGAAAAATAGTACAATGTTTCTGAAAAATATTTATTTTATTTGTTTTTATTTAAATGAATTCTTGGATATACAGATGTGTTTAGGATCAATACAGATATTCTTCTTTGCTTCTTCTTTGTGCTGTATGAAAATCCTTACATGACGTTTAGGCATATTGGAATGAAGATATGCTTCCATGGCGTCCCCTTTCGATGTCTTTTTTTAAAGCTTCTTCTGCCTGTTTTGAAATTTTTGCATACAGAAGCATGTTGTGAGGGTTAATAGATGTTTTTGTATTTAATTGAACCTAAAGCAGAATACCATGCTGATTGTGATACATCTAAAGGTTGAATGACATTTTTGGTTTGGCAGGGAGGAATCCTACTTGGGCCATCAGCTCTGGGACGGAACAAAAGTTATCTTCAGGCAATATTTCCACCGAAGAGTATCATTGTGTTGGACACCATAGCAAACCTCGGTCTCCTATTCTTTCTATTCCTTGCAGGCCTAGAGATAGATCCTAAATCCATACGTCAGACTGGAAAACAAGCCCTTGCCATTGCCGTAGCAGGAATAACCCTCCCATTTGCATTAGGAATCGGTTCAGCATTTGTCCTCCGAGAAACCATAGCCAAAGGGGTAGATGCTACTGTATTTCTTGTGTTCATGGGTGTGGCCATTTCGATAACTCTGAGAAACCATAGCCAAAGGGGTAGATGCTACTGAAACTCTTGAACACTGACATTGGAAAAATGGCTATGTCGGCTGCCGCAGTTAATGATGTGGCCGCCTGGATTCTACTCGCTCTTGCTGTTGCCCTATCTGGCAGTAACCAATCTCCCCTTGTTTCACTATGGGTCTTCTTGTCTGGGTGTGTGTTTATTATTTGTGCAATTGTCATTGTTCCTCCAATATTCAAATGGATGTCTCAACGATGTCATGAAGATGAACCTGTTGATGAGATCAATGTATGCGCTACACTAACTGCTGTTCTGGCTGCTGGTTTTGTTACTGATACAATTGGAATTCATGCCATGTTTGGTGCTTTTGTGGTCGGAGTTCTTGTACCAAAGGAGGGGCCATTTGCAAGTGCTCTTGTGGAAAAAGTAGATGATCTTGTATCTGGTCTCTTTTTACCGGTGTACTTTGTGTCTAGTGGACTGAAGACTAATGTAGCAACAATTCAGGGCTTCAGTCGTGGGGACTGAAGAAAAATGATGAGATCTGTGTGTTAAAAGTTAATAACTTAAAAAATAATATTTATCATCAATTACATAAAAACACATGGTGTACCACTCTTGTTCCCGTCACAATTAAAAATTTCTCCAACAACACAACCCCATTATTTGGTTTACAAAATTTAGTTTAAAATTTTAGTTTAAAATTTGTCTTCCTAGCATTACTTACCAGATAATACGCAAGTTTCAGTTAAAAAGCTTCAGCGAAACAGAGTCGTTTTGGTTGGTGGGTGTTAAAAGAATTAGGGCATACCAGTCTCATCTTCTTTGCTCAGTTGTATGACATCTACATCACACCACCATGGCTTCATCAAGGCAATACCACCGTCGTCACAGCGCTTGGGCTACGACTAGAAGTATAGCTTGTTTTCTAAAATTTCGCCTGGCTATAGCCTAGGTAGCCCTAGGCGTCAGTCCGTTCCTGCCTCAAATTACATCTTTATTGAGTCTTCATTTGAATGATCGCTCACATTATAATATGTAGATTAATAACACTATAATGATTCGCATGCAATTTTCTCCACATCAACCATATCACTTGAGCTAAACACTATATATATATATATGTGTGTGTGTGTGTGTGTGTGTGTGTGTGTCATCACTTGAGCTCGAACTACATAACATGTATAGGGATAAATGAGTGTTTTGTCATTTATACTACATTTACTGATCAGCTCTCTAATATTAGTAAATCATACACATGAGCACGGATCATCTCTCTAATATTAGTAAATCATATATGAGCGGAGTCTACCCTTATTAAAAAGGTTGCCAACAAGATATTAAGTTCAAATATTTTAACCGAGATAATAAAGCTAATTAATCCATGGTTGGAGACTCAAGTCTTCATATATATATGTGTGTGTGTGTGTGTGTGTGTATTGACGCCTAGGATATTTAAGTACAACACAAGAGTTAGCCTTTATATTATCAAATTGTGCCCAATGATTTCTTCATTCAATCCGCAATTAGCAACAATGACAACTTTTGCAGAAAAAAGTGTCCTTTTGCTTGTCCCAATTATATTCCCATCTATTTTAGCCACCAAAACCCAAAATTCCAAGTGCATAAATAAGCCATACAAGAGGCTCGTAGCCTAGTGCTTTATTACCATGCACGAATCCTATTTGATGGCGCGAATGCAGGCAACAGCTGCATGCCGTCGCAAATGCAACCAACCTTCGTTCCACAAACTTTGGTATGCCGGATTGCTGGTTGCCTTTAACGACCCCGTGACAAACGACAAGCTTCTGTTGCCACCTGTGGCAAAACCTCAAGGCTTCTATTTCTATGACTTTAAGGACGACTGCAGCGCTTGGTTTGCGTACACTTTGGTTTCCAACTCGAGTGAGCACAAGTATAATATGTTAGAGTAGGTTAATTAATACATATTATACTTTGGCTAGAGGGATGCCCCATTTAAGACTAATAATCAGCAGGGTTTATATTATTTTCACCTGAAGATGGACATCAAGTTGCATGAATTTTATTAATTACGCTCAAATTTGAGAAATTCTTGTATACAATGCTCTTTATATAACTAGTCACGTGAGCAGCACATGTGAGACAATTTGGAGAGAGTTGTTGTATATGCATGCAAAGAAATAAAAAAGAGACAAGGTTCGATTATAACTATTCTTAATTAGTTTGCTTTCCTTATGAGTATGGTCTGCACTTCTGTTGTGATTTCACTAATAAAAGAGGATTAAGGATGGTTTGCCAGTGTGCTATGATCATTATTAGTGATTCTATAATTTTCAGTTATCTTGTAAAACTTCTCGTTTGCAGTTGCTTTTCAGCAAGTATAAACAATGCCTATATGTATTTGAGGTTAATATAGCAGTCATATTTCAAGAATTGATTGAATACATTTTAATGTCTACAGAAAATTCAACAAAAAAGCAGTAGCATTCGCATTAAACACCAAGATTTACTTGAATTGAATTCTTATATCAATAATATTATGATCACCAAGTTTGGTCACTCAATCATGTGGCGGCTAGTAATAACTTAAAAGCTAGCACTGGCACAGAAGCATTTCTTGGAATCAAAATATGTATGAAGGGCGGAACAGATAGAACAGAACTATATATGTAGGCGGCTACCTAGGATAACTACAAAACCCTAAAAACTATATGTATGTAGTTTGGATTTAAGCCATTCTAATTTTGTGGAGGGCTACGTTGATGAGAGCCAAGTCTTAAGAGATTGATCCCAAGTTACCAAGGAATATATCATAAAATTAAATAGAGAGGATTAAAAATGCCCGTCATGAGCATCATATATGTATGTGAGAGAAATTTGCAATTTCTTTCTTAAAAAAATCATTTACAAATTCCTCTTCTATACGTTTGTATGCTCAAAAGGGGCATCTCTAGTCCTTCCTATCTAACATTTTGTGGTCCATCATTTATTCACTTGGCATCAATCCTTGGGGCTTAGAAATTACTCACTGACACACCCCAACCTGAAATGTTCATGTGGACTTCAAATCGAGCTGTGTTGGCCGACACCAGAGGGTGACGAAGCCATAAAGTGTAGTGATGTGGAAAATGTGAGTAAATTTAAACCTAAAAGTGCCTAAATGTAAGAGTGCGCTAGTGAGCGGGAATGAACCCATTCACGCGTAATGTCAAAGCATAAGTAAAGTACAGTAAGGTAGAATGAGAATTATACTATCGGAGGTAAACATTTATACCAAAGTTTGCCAAGAATCCTCATCGACACAAAATCTCAGTTACTAAAACCTGGAGGGATGAAAAACAAAGGTGAGTGGGCCTAAAAATAAAGCTTTGTAAAAACCTTTCTGAAAACATAATAACCCCTCGTCGTAAAACAAGTATAGTTTCCAAAATATACATACTACGTATAGTATGAAAATACTTACTGTAACCTGCAATATCTCAAGAATTCAATACGTCACAAAATTGGTAAATAAGCATATAACTTCTAGTAATCACAATACCTCGCAGAAATAAACATATCACATTAAGTGCTCATTGACACATGCTGACACACGAGTTCATGTAGAGGTATTCTGACATGAACAGGACGAGGTGTAATAATGATTTACGCTCTAGTACTACAATCCGGTGAAGACTGGCATTATGCGCATCCACATACGAGTCCTAATTGCCTATAGCAATCTAGGACATGACCGGCACCTACAATTAATCCAAAGTGAGCATACGGTGTGACGTGAACATACACGTGAAACCTGGCCCTGGCTCAGGTGAGTGCTGACACCAGTGTAGCACATGATGAGTAGATAACATAAATATAGTCATGCCACAATAATTCGATAATTCTAGTCAACATAATACTATTCATAGCCATAAATCTAATTAAAGCATCACGTAGGATTTATAATGATTTCCTAATTCTCATCATTATGACATTTCGTATAAATGTTAATTTAATTACGGCATCACATAGAAAATTCGTTATTAGATGTATATATGGAAACTAAACAAATATATATATATATATATATGTATATATAAAAGAAAGGACTCATTCACAGATACTTACGAGGTTGTAGCCATTCGAGCAAGTAATTGCGGATCGCTAATGCTAATTTACCTAAGCATAATAGACCCATTAGTAAAACTCAATTAAAACGTTTGAATTTGGAGAAACAGATGGCGGATTCGAAATTAGCGCGTCGAAATGCCCTAAGAAGGGTTCCAGGTAAATTTCGTAAATAATCAACAAAAAAGTCAAAGGTCAACCCTAAAAAATCGACCGAGCCACCCCGGCGGTCAACTACGTTAAAACTTTGAAATTTCACTAAATAGATGCCAAAAAAGGACTTGGGGCATTGAAATTAGCCTAGAAGGGTTTTCGAGAAAATTTTGAAAAAGTCAACCTACGAAACATTCTAAGAGTATTCCAAAGAATATTCTACAAATATTCCAGATCCATTTTCGGAAATGGGCCGTATCGGCCAAAGGTTTGGGCCGGGCAGTATCTTGGGTTTGGATCCAGATCTGGATCGTGAATCTAGGCTTTAGAATTTTATGTATTTATTTTTTTCTCGGGTCGAGTTGACCCGTTTGGGCTCGCTAGTTGGTCTAACCCAACAAAGAAGAAGGCCAGAACTAGACCAAGTTTGGCCAGGAAACCTTCCGAGCTCCGTTCAAGCTTGATTCTTAACTATTTTCATTGAAATAAAGATCAAAATGAAGCTTAGGAGATCAGGAATAAGGGTATGCCAAAATGAGGTTAAGCCAAAGTCGGGATCGGCCCAAAAAAACCCTGTAAAGGCTGGGTTTCTCATCGGAAATCTAGGGAACTTTCCCCCGTGTTATTTTTGTACCAAAACCCCCACCAAAAACCTTAGAATAACTAGAAATACATACCAAGACACGATCCACTAAGTTTTAGGTTATTTTCGAGACTCACCCTCACCAAAATCCATGAGGTCCTCGCCAAAAAAAATGGAGGTCACGATCTGAGTTCGCGTTCACCACCTGGTTCTCTATTTCTATACTTGGACATTGGTAACTTGATGAGTGGTGAGGTTAGATGGTGGTGGTGTGATTTGCCGTGGAAGGTGGCAAGGTGATGGTCTCGGCCTCACGGCATTTGGTGTTCGCAAAGGTGAGAGGGAGTTAGAGTGAGAAAGATGAAAGGGACAAGAGAGAGACTAAGAGAAGAGGGAAGAGAGAGGTCTGGGAGAGTAAGGGAAGAGGGACACGCGGTAGGGAGAAGGTGGAGAGTTTGTGATGTGTGGGCCTACTGGCCAAAAATAAATTATTTAAATATTTAAAATATCCAATCAGGAAATATTAAAATAATAATATGATAATTATGAAAAATATATAAAATATAAATAGTAATTTTTACCAAAGTATTTTTAGGATTTGTAGTTCCGTAAAACCTTCATCGTAACTCTAATTACGATTCTACTTGACACACCCCAATCGAGATCAGGGCATACTAGCCGTCACGTGGAAGTGACGCAGCCAAGTGCACAGTGCGGAAGCTAATAAAATAATAATA